TGATTAAAAATAGGCCTGATTTTAGCATATTTTCACTGTATATCGGCACAAATCCACGCAAAGATACTTATGTTTGATGCGTACGTACGGCATTGCTATTGGCCATAAGATGACCAAAAAGAATGGAATTTTGTGAAAACAATGTCAGGAACCCAAACTATGTGAAAAAACATAATGTCTAGCTTCCGAAATGCTCAAAATGGCTCTAATTTAGTCAAAAAGTGATTTTGAGCATTTTAAAAATTTGACGTACGCGTACGCGTGTGTAATGAAGCGCACGCGTAAAATTAAGGGACAGTACATTCAACATTAACCCGAAGTTAATGCTCACTTAATACGATTTCGAAATGGCAGTTGGTTAGGCTGATATGATCGATAATGTAAAAACGCAAAATTGCGCATAGATGACGTCACGCATAACTGCGCACTTTGAAAACCTTATTGTGACTATTCCAGACCAAGCTAAATGTTTGTTGATGCGTGCATGTATGAATCTTGTGCCAATTTTTATATATCGTGCTAACAAGAAATGGGGAGAAGCTGGAATAAAAAAAACTAGATTTGAACTCGTCACAGAGGACGAGTTAGGTGATCCGACGCACTTTGACCCACGAGGAAGTGTGCGCGGTGTGGATTGAACAATATTTAAATGCTGATAATGGCAAAATACGCTAATTTAGTTTGTTAAAAAAGAATTTGGAGCATTTTAAAAGGTTTACTCATGCGTACGCGTACCTCATGACGATGCGCACCTCATGACGCACGTGCGCATCTTAATGTCACTGTTGCCTCCTGATATGAGATATATATGTATCAACTTTCATTGACAAACGCCTGTTGGTGAAGGAGTAATGATCATTCATAATATTTATCATATATAAAAATTCATTTTTTTTTACTTCAGATGGCAATATGGTGACGTCACAATGTCCGATCAGCTATTATGATATATAAAATCATATCTACAGCTCATGTGCTTTCAGAATATGTAATAAAAGTTAGGGGTCACCTTTCATCCTAAGGAGCTATAACTGATTTTAAAAAAGACATGATATAAAGCATATATTAATTTTGACGCACACGAACGCTCGCGTTATTACGCGCGCACAAAAATATAATGTACATAACATTCAACCATGACCTGAAGTTTATACCCACTAAATATGGTTCAGAAATCACAACTGATTAAGGCGATTATGGGGTCATCAAAGGCTGGACGAAAGAAAGATGAGGGGGTAAGAAAAACCCTATATTTTGACAATGATGACGTCATCAAAATGTAAAAATGCCACATACAGTAGAACCTTGTTTTTACGTACCCCAGTTATACGAACCCTCTGTTTTACGTACGCCTCGTATGGACGATGACGTCATCAAAAATCCCGAAAATATTCAAAACAAACGGCCCTTTTGAGAGCAACCATAAGTAAAAAGAATATAACAATAAACTATAACAATAAACAAACCATAATGCAACGTATTTTCATTAAACAGCAGCGTTGATTGAGTCTAATACCGGGTTGTTATAATCTAAAACCACGTGAACTGAGTGAGATGAACAACTACCGATGGTGCTCAAAATTATTGCTTTCCTCCTTAGCTTCGTGTGGCAAACCATGGAAGAAATTTTCATCTGCGGAAAAAATGCGTGCGGTGGGCTAATGTTTTCTGGATGGTACCTGTCTCTTATACACATCTAGATGTGTATAAGAGACATGCTGTTTCACGTACACGAACGCTAATTGGTTGGCTCGCCCAGTGCAGCGCACATGGGTTTAGTTTGTCTCAACAGGCCCAGACAACACCACATCTCTGTTGTTTAGAATAGGCATGAAGGGGAATTTCCAAGTTATACCTTTGTCGTATAGGCAATCTTACAATTTTTTCATGTTCTTTATTTTAGTTAAATAAAAGATATAAAGTGATGAATTAATACACTAGACACATGGTTTTATTTGAACACTTTATTATGACATCGTAAAGTGATGAATAAAAACACTAAACACATGGTTTTATTCGTAGGCCTATGCCTAGAGGCTAGGTCTAGCCTAGGTATCATCGTTCGTTCGTACATACGTTTATTGAGCGTTACGTACGTATTACTAGGTCAAAGGTTACCACAAATTTAACCCAACCTCTTTTTTACGAATCCCCCGATTTACGTACACCCTCTGGTCCCGTACCGTACGTAAAATCGAGGTTCTACTGTATATGAAAGAAAATTGCCTCAGCTACAACATACTAAAAGTTGGAAGACAATTGATCAAGAATAAGCGAGATACACTCAAATGCGCATTTGCTAAAATGAGGTCATCGATAATATTCAGTTTGTTGAATTCAGATGGCAAGATGATGACATCATAATGTTCGATCAGCCATTATGACCTATAAAATCATATTTACAACTCATGTGCTTTCAGAATATGTAATAAAAATTGGGGGTCACCTTTCATCCTAAAGAGCTGTAACTGTTTAAAATTAGGCCTGATTTTAGCAAAATTTCACTGTATATCGGCACAAATGCGCACAAAGGTCACTATGTTTGATGCGTGTGTACGGCATTGTTATTGGCCATAGAGTGATTGGAAACTTGTCAAAACAATGTCAGGAACCCAAAATGTGCCAAAAAAATTAATTTCTAGCTTCCATACGTGCTGCGCGCGTAAAAATGCGCACGCGTAGTAGTAAATTTCAAAAAATTCTGAAATGCTCAAAATGGCATGAAACGTGCTCTAATTTAATCTAAATATGATTTCGAGCATTTTAAAAGTTTGACGCACGCGTACGCGCACGTTATGACGCGCACGCGTAAAATTAGGGTAAATTACATTTAACATTGACTTGAAGTTAA